TTAAAAACTTTTCTACTGTAGCCCAGAATCCAGGGTACAATGTAGGGATCTGCTTTTGCAGCCCTCCAACCCCAACCCCCAAGTCATTCCAGCAACCCTCCCTGCTCCCAGTGGTAGTATTGACCTCTTTGGGAAGTACTAAAGGCCCTGCAACTCTGCCCAGGTCTGGACAGTAAATGTGTTGGGCTTCGCAGACAGACTGCACCCCGACGCTGCAGTACCAGAGCCGCCTGAAGTCCCGGGTAATGGAGTAGGCTGGGACACCCTGCACGTACAGCTGCTCTAGGTTACCCACGTGCTGCTTCCACTTCACTCTAGCACTGAGAGCGAGAGGAGGGCAGCAGAGGTGCCTGCAGTATTAGACAGGGAAACGCCACTTGACAAGTCACCGACTTGGGAGCTAGAGACGGGGTGTGGATCTATCAACCTGGGACTGCTCTTGTTTTCGGGGCGAGAGGGCCTTGCCCGCTGTGGAACACAGGTTGAAAGCAGGGCTCGGGCTGAGATCAGAGACCTGAGACTGCAGCCTGGTTCAAATTGTCAGCCCCCAGGGAAACCAGATACCCCTAAGACAGCTGAAATCATGTGGCCACTACCCGGAGCCCAGAGCTGTGGGGTGGGCATTGGGTGAGAGTTGTCTGAATGCTCTGATCATGTGGCCATCTCATTCCCCACCCCCTCTCCAGGAGACATCCGCTATGACGAGGCCATGGGTTACCCCATGGTGCAGCAGTGGCGTGTCCGGAGCAACCTCTACCGGGTGAAGCTCAGCACCATCACGCTGTCAGCAGGTGAGGGCCTCTCAAGGGCAGCCGGGAAGCTTGGAGTCCTTCAGCACATGTTCCCAAGAACCTGAGCCATGCCATGCCCTGTGCTGGCAGAGGGGATGCTGAGGGATGGAGGAAGTGTCTTCCTGCCATCAACCAGTTCACAGGGAAGAGCAACCACAAACAGGTCTGTGGATAGACTGCACTAGGGCCAACGCAAGCCGAGGCCCGTGGTAGTAAAGACAAAGAGTCATCTGTTCCAGGGGAGGCAGAGGGGCTTCCTGGGAGAAGTGCTATCTGAGCAGCATGCAGAAGGACAAACCAGAGAGACAGAGAGAACTGGGGGAGGACCACCAAGGCCACGTTTCCATTCTTAAAAGCATTGCCACCGCTACGGCAAAGTCAGCGATTGAAGCCCTAACAGGTGCTGGGTTTTCATCTGAATCGTGCCTGTCTCCCCTGCTGATCTGAGAGAGAGAGAGAGAGAGAGAGAAATAAAGACTGAATCAAAGACTCTGCAGGGATGAGGCTTGGCCTAGTGTTTCCTACGCTGCCCCTTACTCCACGGCCTCCCCCTGGTTCATTGTCTGAGGGGCCCCGAAGTAGCCTAATGTTCTAACCGTGTGGTCTCCAAGACCCCTCTGAGGAAGGCAGTGTGCCCCCATAATTTCCTTCAGATGAGAAAACCGGGAATCAGAGAGGTGAAGTAACTTTTCAGAGGTCACACAGCCAGACAGTCGCAGAACAGGGTGCACGGCAGGGATCTGACTGTGGTGGTGACTCTCTGGAGACAGAGCTATAGGGCATCCCCATGATGCTGTTGTTTATTACTTTACACAAGCCATCTCATTATTAACACTGAGGAATTAATTACCCAGAAGCGTGAATTAGCAGGTTGATGGAGAGGGGCTGTTCTAATCAAGCGCCCCTTCTTCAAGTCTTGTTTCTGTTTTGCCTACCACCCCCGCACACTGCACTTACAGGGGAGACTGTGATGTTCCTGTTAGAACTACAAAGGTGAATCTGCTTTAATTAATCAATAATTATGCTCCTGCAAATCCCTTTGTGAATCAAATGCTGGCAAGTTGGAGCTCGTGTTTAATGTTAGAGCGGAGCTTGCTCTTTTCCGTCTTACTTTCCCGTGGAACAATCTCGGCTGTACTTCTAGTCATCCTGGCCAGACATGTACTAGGAGCTGGGGCCGGGCGTGGGGTGCTGAGACCTGGGTGCTGGAAGGACATGTGCAGACTGTCAATGAATGATGGTTTCGGCCTCAATCAAGGAGAGACATGGCGAAGGTACTGAGTGCAAGGCGGAGGCCTAGTTCCCTAGTGTTGCTGTAAGAAAAACCAGGAGGGGCCAGCTTTGTAAATAGACAGAAAGTGATTCCCTCGCTGTTTCAGAGGCTAGAAATCCAAACTCAGAGCCACCGTTGTAGGGGAACACGTTGTCTCTGGTTAACTAGGCTCCTGGGGAAGGTCCTTGTTGCTTCTCAACATATATGGGACAAGCATTCCTTAGAGATCTCCATGTGTTTGGGGCATCCTTCTTCCCCTGGGTCTAGGAGCTTCTCAGCACAGGGACTCCAAGTCCAAAGGCCACATCCTGCTTCCAGCTATTTATTTATTTGTTGTTAATCATGTTCCTAATACCAATACAACTCACCCAACACAACTGCTTCTTCTCCTGCCTCAGTAGTATCATAGAGGTGAGGATTCGCAACCCAAAGGATAATCACATCAGCTCACAAAATGGAGGACAATTACAAAACACTTAGACGAATGATCCACCTAAGTTGACACGTATTTTGAGGGGATACAAGTCAGTCTATAACTGGTTCCTGGTCCGGATGGAGTGGAGGCTACCTAGGGAAGGAAGGGGTCCTCAGGGAGCAAGTGGGGTGGCAATTCAGGCAGTGCGAGTGTGTGTGTGGGATGGGGAGGGGAGGGGAGCTTGTTCAGGCAGTGCGAGTGCGTGTAGGGTGGGGAGGGGAGGAGGTTGGAGAATGCCAGTCAAGCAAGCATGCTGGGAATCACAGATCCCACTCAAGGGGAAATGAGAACACAGACTTGGTGAGGGTTCAAGGCTGGTGTGACTGACTTGTGGGTGGTGATTTAGTCACCTTGAAGGCCCAGTGAAGGTCCTTGGGTCCAGGGGGAGCTGCGAAAGGTTTTAACATTCCCCAAAGAATGTTAAAGCTCTGTCATGGCGTCTTTGAGGAAGGAGAGGGGATGGGAATTGTCATTACTGAATGATTGCTGGGCAGGCCCCATGCAGGGGGCTGAAGACTTCAGGGTTTCGTTGGTGTAGTATTAGAAGGAAGCAGGGCAGTAAGAAGACTCTTGTGGCAATCTAGGGAGAGAGAAAATACCAGCTTCAGGAAGGCAACAGCGGAGAGAGAAAGGGAAGTAGGGTTGCAGGACATAGGGCCATGGATCGGATCTGCAGCCTGGACAGACCTGCTGAGCCTGGGCAAATAAATGGTGGCATCAGGACTCTACTAAAGATGATCCAAGTCCTGGTTTACTTGGTGCCAAAGAGAATGGGCTTCTGAGTGAGGGCAGGACTGGGTCTGATCTCTCATGCCACTAGTCGGGGAACCAAGAGAGTCATTGGCTTGTCCATCTGCATGCTGCAGTGATTGTCGACAGGGCCACAGTGTTGTGGCTACAGTTCAATTGGACAAAGTGGGCGAGCCATCCAGCAGAATGCTTGGTGCACATTAGTTGCTCAGTAGATACCAGCCTTGGCTTCCTGACGGTTGATTTTAAGACCCTGTGGTCCAAGACAGCAAGGTTTAGGCCTTCCTCTTCTACCAGTTCTCTTGGATAGAGCCTTGTGTGCCCATCAGAGAGAGCCATTCTGTAAAACATACATGGGGGAACAATGTAAACATTTGGATTAGGGTAGCCAGCTGGGCTACCACTATGTGGATGAGCAAGGCACCAAACCCAGGCTGAAAGGGACCTCCTGCCACTGGTTTAACTTCTTGGCCACCAGCCCCCAAGTCTGACACCTTCACCTCCTCCTCTTCCCTGCCCAGAGTTCACCAATGTCCTCAAGATCCTGAACAAGGAGAGCAGTCGGGAGGAGTTGCTGTCCTTCATCCAGCACTATGGCTCCCACTACATCGCAGAGGCTCTCTATGGCTCAGAGCTGACCTGCATCATCCACTTCCCCAGCAAGAAGGTCCAGCAGCAGCTGTGGCTCCAGTACCAGAAAGGTAAGCCTGGAGAGCTTGCTGGGGGTGGTGGCTGGGTAAGCTGTAGCGGCAAGAAGGCTGGGGACAGAATGGATAGCTCCTGGATCTAACTCCTGGCTGTGCCAGGCCTGTGCTCTGTGGCTTTCGACAAGTCCCTTCCCTCTCGGGGCTCTAGTCTCAGCAAGAGCCACACACCTCGTGGCTCTCTCAGGACTTGTTCAGGTCAGGCGTTTTCAGAGTTGGTGCCCTTTGACACAGGCTCTTGATTCCCACCCTCCTCCTGGACACAGCTGCTAGGGGATGAGGAATGGGGTGTTTTCTTGACCCTCTTCTCTCGCCAGGCTTTTTGGCAGGACCCAAGAAGGGACCCGGTTCCTCTTGGAGAGACCACCACCTGTCTGAGGGGGAGCAGTTTCTGGCTGCTTCCGGGAGAGGCTTTTATCCTTGGGGAAGCTCTTCCGGTCTTATGTAATGGGTTCTGTATTCGTGTCTTATCTCACATATGAGAAAATGAGTCTCATACATGCCAAGCCAAGTGCCCACAGCCACTGACCTGCAGGGCCAGGCTTGGAACCGCAGATGAGCGGGACCCAAGAGCTCATGTTCATTCGTTCCCTCGTCAATTAGACAGGAGTGTTGCTGTCATGGTAATTACAGTCATTGTCAACTCATTTCACAAGGCCCTTGGCTGAAGAAAAGGGTAAGGAGAAATGATTTCCAAAAACCAGTTTGCATCTTATTCATAGGGCGCAGCCACATCATTTCCTCAATCTTCCACCCGCCTTTGGCCGTCCCCAAGAACAAAATCAACTCTCCCCATAAAACTCCTGGACAGGGGAGCCAAAAGTGACCTGAATGGTTTCACTGAGCTCAGGATTCCAAAGCTCAGTTGTCAAACCTGAGGCTCAAAAAGGGAAAGGCACTTGCTCCGAGTCCCCGAGCCCAGACTGCAGGGGGTTAAACCCTACACACCCCGCATCTCAAGCTTCCTAGGCAGCTACACATTCTGACAAGATCAAGCCCAGAGCCCACCCCACCTCGTACTCCTGTGGTCACGGCTTCACCCCTCCCTGCCTCTTGTGTGCAGCTGTATGGGGCACCGGTGGTTTATAGGCACAGGGGACATAATTGACTTGCCTGGGAATAGCTCTCTTTTATGGCTATGACAATGACAGTATTTAGGGAAGTGCATTAAATCAATAGAAGTCTCATTGCACTACCCTATAAATAATGTGACACATCATTAAGCAAGGCAATAAGCTCCAGAACTTTGAGGTAATGCAATTAGGTTATGTTGATAAGAACCCTGCCATGATGGTGGCCGCTGAACTAATTTGCCTCATCTCGGGTTTGGGGCCCACAATATCATTCTGGTGCCAGACCCCATCCCCATCTCTGCTGCTGACTGCTTCTAAGTCTTTGACTGGTTCCCTCCGCAAACATCCTGGTCCTAATAAAGTGGGTGCACTGAATCTATGACAAGTAATGAGGGGACGGGAGAGGTGCGGAAAGGGTGCTGCAACAGTAGCTGGGATCCCTTGACTCCAGGTCTTCTAGGTAACTAGGGAGTGCTAAATGTCCCAGTGGGCTTTCCTGCTCCCACTCTCCATGCCCATGCCTAAGAAGAGAAGGCACTGACCTTCTGGATAGCTTAAAGCCACTTGTGAGCTTCCTCTACCCCGGGCCCACCTGGATGACCCCTCGGCTCTACCTCAGACAGTGTGGTTGCCTTGTTTTCATTTTAATTTGGGAGTCCTGGAAACTGGCAATGTGCCCCTACAGAATTGAATGCATTTTTTGGCCTCAGAGATGGTGGGCATCTCTTCTCTTTCTAACATGCACTGTGTGTGGTTGGCATCCGAATCAGAAGGGCTCGTGTTGTGGGGGATGAGTCTGGGTTGGGGGCCGAGCTTGTGGGAAGAGCACAGGGATGTGACGGGGGGGG